TGGCTCCCGCTCGGAGGGCCATTGCGCAGACCTTCGAGTGGACTGATCTGCTGTGAGACATCACATCGGTTCATCCCCCTCCCGCAGCCCGATTTCATCAAGCAAGTACGTCGCTGTCTGTGGCTTACTCTCCAGATGAACTCGAGCGCAACACTAGTACTCGAGCCGCGCTGATTGTCCTGACCCAAACATACAACTCAGGTGGCGTCATTCGAGGGCCTGTGTTGCTACATATGTTGATCCGCCATGATGTCGGACAGCGGGAAGGGCTGACGAGGGCGACAGGAACAGGCCTAGGTCAGAATCGGATGACGATCGATCAGGTGAGTAAATGGGCTCATGTCTGTCAACGTGAATAACTCGATCAGGAGAAGGCTATTTGCACGGGGAAAAGGCTTGAAAAGGAAGTAGCTCCAGGGGCGTGAGCAAATCGATTCCATACTGGGCTGGGTGGCGCGACTTTGGCGGTAAACGTGATCACCGAGATGGCCGACCCCGCAATGCCCGCTGCCTTCCCGTCGATCCTCGACCTCGAAGCTTATTTATGGCACCAACATCGCAACATACAGCCCACATTTCACACACGCCTCGAGCTCGCGCATTCGTATAAATACCCTGCTTTGCCAACGAGTTTCCGCATTCCAAGTCCCCGACTTCGATCACCCCATCCTCCTCCTTACCCGCAAATCCCCCTTCTCCTACCTCCTCCTCAGAATGAAGTGCTCTTTCGCCCTCGCGTCCCTCGTCCTCGCCGTTGGCGCGGCCGCCTCCCCCGTCATCACCCGCGCGGACAAGATCACCGGTACGCCCATTCACAATGGATGCCCATGCCGATGCTGACGGAGGCTTGCTATTGTAGACACCACGGTGCTGAACTTCGCGCTGACCCTCGAGCACCTCGAGAACGCCTTCTACTCCGGCGCGCTCGCCAAGTACTCTGAATCCGACTTCACCGCCGCCGGCCTGCCCAAGTACGCGCGCGGCCGGTTCGAGGAGGTCGCTGCGCACGAAGGTTCGTCTCTACTACTGTCAATACGCGTAAGAATATCACTGACGCGCGCATTGACAGCTGCGCACGTCGCGTTCCTCACGAAGGCCCTCGGCAAGGACGCGACCGCCGCGTGCACGTACGACTTCCCGTACACCTCTCCCGCGTCCTTCGCCGCTCTCTCGCAGACGCTCGAGGGCGTCGGCGTGTCCGCGTACGCCGGTGCTGCGCAGTACATCAGCAGCAAGGCGTACCTCACCGCCGCGGCGACCGTGCTCTCGACCGAGGCGCGCCACGCGAGCTGGGTCGCGAGCGCCGTGAACAAGGTCGCGGGGTGGAGCGGGCCGTTCGACGTCGCGCTCGGCCTTGACAGCGTGTACAGCCTCGCGGCGCAGTTCATCACGAGCTGCCCCTCGTCGAACCCCGCACTCCCGGTGAAGGCATTCCCCAAGCTCGCATTCCCCGCCACCGCCGCGCCCGGATCCAAGGTATGCCAGCTCCTCCTATATCTCTTTATACCTCCTGACAATGGTTGATCCAGGTCACCCTCACTTTCGACGTGCCCAAAGGCACCAAGGCCGCCGACCTGTACGCCGCGTTCTACACAGGCACGGGCACCGAGTACGCGCCCATCTCGTCCTCGAAGCAGGTCACGATCCCAAGCGACCTCCGCGGCACCGTGTATGCGGTCGTCACGACCAGCAAGAACGCGAGCGCGGACGCGAACACCGTCGCGGGTGTTGCGGTGCTCGAGTTCGAGTTCGACTCGAACGGCAAGCTCATTGCTTAGGCGCAGGGTGGCGTAGCTATTTAACTCGCGGCGTGGACACTGGATTGCTTGTTAGCTCCTGTTTGTTCGGACATTTCATACTTCACATTCTCAATACCCGCTCCTTACGAACTTCATCCTTGTGTCGCAAACTAATTTGCTCAGTCGTATTTTCGTAATGAATATGTTGATGTTGCAGCACCACTGAGAACATGAACGTGATGAATGGAATAATTGTGGCACCGAAACGTACGGGTGGAGTACGTCATTATTTTAATGCTACGCAAGCGCCGGTGGCAAATTTTGTGATGCCATCCCCTGCTTGGCTTGTATTCTAGCGCTCACGATTCAGAACGTGCGAAATTAACTAATGTCTTTACATATATGCGCATATTTAATTCTCAGAAGAATAGACCAGCTGCGCTCGAACCTAGAGACTCTGATCATCGTTTGAACCGAGTTTGAACTTGGTTTGAACATCAGCTTGTGCTGGTTGTGGCAGTGCAGTGCGCCCTGACATTCCCCACGTGCCCTCGCCGCTCACTGCTGCTTTGCACATTCCTTGATTGCCTGTGGGTCTACGCGCCCGTCCTTACTCCAGCGCTTGCCCAACTACCTGTCTCTACGCCCCATCTCTGCGAACATTCCACGAAAACTAGCCGCCCCTGAAACTATGTCGCGCCGCGCGGCAGCATCGTCCCCTCCGCCCGACGAGGTCGAAGAGGGCAGCGGTACGCGTTTCATGATCACCCTCTTGGCGCGCAAGGCTGACTGGCGCAGATATGGAGATGAGCGAGAGCGACGCGCAGGACGCGGGCGAGGAGGAGGATGTGGAGGAGCAGATGGACGTCGAGCATGACGAGGGGGACGACCCGGAGCAGGAGCAGGAAGATGAGGAGGTCGACGTCGAGGGCGAGGAGGATGCGGACGCTGAGGTTCGTTTGCTTCTGTCTATGCTCTATCTCCCTGTTCCCGCTCCCGCTCAACGATGTCTTATTCGCATACTAACTGAAGGGTTTGAGCAGGTACCAGACCCGGAGATGGACCCGGAGAGCAGCCCGCCCCCGCCGCCGATGCCGAGTCTGAAGATCAAGATCCGCATACCCGCGTCCACGCCTTCTGAGAACCAGAGCTTGCGCAGTGCGAGCCGGGGTGAGTCTTCCTCCCTCCCCTTCTCCCTTGACCTGCCTACGATGTTGCCATTTTCTGCCACTGCGCCTCCTTGTTCCTCTTTACTAGAAGATAGACTGATATTTGGCTTTGCAGACGTCGATATCGAATCAGAAGACTCAGAGAACTCGCGCTCGGCCTCCCCTTCCTCGTCCTCCGGGGACTTTTCCGTCCCCGCCAAAGCACGGGGGAAGGGCAAGAAGCCGATGACCGCACGGCAGGCCGTTTTGGCGACAGGCGGAAGCACCGCGATCAGCCTCGGTGAGCACTCCCTTGCACGGGTGACTAGGCATATAATCTAATCACGTTCCTCTGCCGTCCAGACGAGCCGTCCTCTAAGAAAAAGAAGTCGCTGACCGAGACGGAGATTGCGCTCCGCCGCGAGGAGACCGCGCGCAAGCGCAAGAATCTCAGCGAGAAGAAGCTCGAGGACGAGAAGGTGGGCTTCACATCTCTACTTATCCACCTTCATTCGCTCACGTAGCCCTCGTTCTAGGCGGAAACCATCAACCGCCTCCTCAAAAAGCAGTCCCGCCCGCAGGCGAAGAACAAGCGCGTCGCGCAGATCAAGTCGCAGCCCACCACCAAAGCGCCCACGCCCTCCTCCGACGTCGACCCCGACGAGGCCGGCGAGGAGGACGCGGAGGGCGAGGAGGGGGACGAGGACGAGAAGGACGGCGGCAAGAAAGAGCCGGGGATGTACCGCTGGGTGTCAGGCGCGAGCGGGATCACGCTGTCTGTGCCTGCGAGCCTGCTGCCCAGCCCGACTGGCGGGGAGGCGATGGACGTGGATGCGGGCCCGGGGCAGCCGCGGGCGCGGGCGCTGTGCGATGTGCAAAATTGCGGGGTGGTGCGGAAGTACAGGCTTGTGGGCAACTGGGAGAAGGGCGCGTGTGGGATGGCGCATTTGAAGGTGCTGCAGCAGGTCTCGTGATGCGCGGTGAACGGTGAGCATATATGCTACATTGTGCACATTCCTTAGTGGCGCGGCTGACGCGGTGTTTACAGTCGCTTTTTGGGCCTCTGATGCTACGACGCTGGCCATGGATCGCCTCGGACCTGAAAATATAGAGCAGGTGGAAAGAAATCACTGGACCCTTGCTTCGGACTTGTACAGTTACTTGCGCGATTCGCATAGGTGGTGTCTACCAAGAATCTCTGTCAGACCGGTCGTCCGGTGCCACAGCGCAGGCTCTGCACGATACCCTTTTGTATTGTATTCGCTGCTACAATATGATCCTCTGCTACGGGGAAGTTCGTAAAATGCATACCGACTACTCAGCATCTTCTTTTGGGTATTCAAAACTACGGTGACCCGGGCAAGCGGCTGACGAGGAGAGGCGCTCCACCAACCATTACTCGTCGAAGGTTGACCGTCATCCAGCTTCATTCGAGCGCTACCAGCCTCATTCTGGCCTCTAACCCCTCATCCAAAGCAAACATGCCTGCTCTGACCACTGGAATCACACCAAGTGCCACCACTGCTTACACCACCTATGAAACCATAATCACCAGCGCTATTACTCAAGCCTTAGCTCCAACACAAGCCTCGCTCAATGCCATAATCGACAGAGATAGGACCATTGCTGGCGTTGCGGTCTGTCAGTGATTTCATTACATATCATTTAACATGTGAGCTCAATGGTGATGACCGCGCAGGTTCCCTGGCGGGAGGAATTGTGGCGCTCGTTACGCTGTGCTGGTGTTTGGCCAAACGAGTTTCATCAGTACCTAGGGTCAGCCACAGCGATATTCCGCTGGAATCCTCACTGGTCGCTTCAGATATGAATGAGTCGACAGCAACCTTGGTCAAAGATGATGTATCTAGCATCAGGTAATGTTCATATTGAATGTGATGAGTTTTGCGAATGTTAATTACCGGTTCTGCAGCACGTCAATCACGACGACATCTGCTTCTCCAGTTGAAAAACGATAGGACTGTTACGCAATAATAGCAATCTGATATGGTGAAAAAACTTCAATAGAGCACCAGAAACCGTTGTGCGTCGTTCAGTGCTGACTCTGGTGACACACTCTGGGTGTGTGGCAAACCCAAAGGGCAGCAAAAAATGGTGGACAGGGTGGGATTTGAACCCACGGCCTCACGCAATCTGCGAATGCAAAGCGTGCGCGCTAACCACTGTGCCACATGCCCCCTGGATAGACTGCAATAGCCATGATCCATATTCCTAGTGACAGGTGGAAGAGGTTTTCTAACGTTAGTGAAGGCTGGCTGTGCCAGCCAGCAGCCGGTGGGCGCCAATTGTTACTTTCTTGACCGATTGGTTGCATTTGACTGCCAACCTCATATCTATAGACGATTGCTCAGATGTTGGCAACGGAGACCTTTCCGTTCATCGAAATCCTGGGTTAAAAGTCAATGGCACGGCCGGCTTTCTCACCAACTACTTTCAGGCACCCTCTCGAGCACCTACCTGCAGATGCTCCCTTGTCGTCTGAATGGATCCCGATAGTCTCGTGTCCTGCTACCTATGATATCTCCATTGTAGGTCCATTAGTTAATCTGCCGAACGGCAATAGACCACATTCTGATCAGATATTTGCAGTTTCAAGAAGCGATTTCAAACCTGATCAATCACCCCGAGTACAACTCCACGCTCATTCTGCGTTCTGATGTAGTCTCCGACACACATCTGACTTCGGGAAATGAGTCGCCTCCAAGGGCACCTCGGCTGAGCGCCTTTCGGGCAACGCGATGCATCCATCGAGTACTGCTACCTCGTCGACCGGGAAGGGACGGCGTACTGGAACAGCTATGCACTTTCTACTCGGTAGCCCTCTCAGGCTCAGATAGTCTGCAAGCTGATAGTGAAGCACCCGATGCCCATCAACTTCACGAAGACGAAGCTCAGGACTCGGCGCCAACAGACACAGTCATCCTGACCCCGCTTCCAGACGCATCGGGTCTACCCTACTATCATCCCGCAGTCGAGCATCTCGCCATGCGCTATCTAGCATCGCCCTCATTAGGTATCCTTCGCGTGGAGGTCCTACTTCCATCCGACTCATCGGTGCAGAAGGACGCCTTAGAGCCAGGGAGCAAACTAGCTAGACAGTGCACGACTCTTCTACAGCATCTGCATCGCTACACCCCCTCATATACTCCACAGTCCGCTCATGATCGTCTGTTTCCTCGTGAGGAGTACCAAGATCTATATCTTGCCATGCGTGCCTTTCTCGAAAGTGATGGAGGAAGACAAGACAAGGAAGCAGGATGGACAGAGATGGTATCAAAGTGGAAAGAGAGGACAGGGATGGATGGCGCGAAGCAAGTGTATGAAGATGTGGGGATTGCGTGCTGGTTAATGCTGTTGTGGAAGGATACGTTTGCACCCTCCAACCCCTTTAACCCCAACCCGCAGTCCGCTCTCTGCCCGCCCACCGACGGAAATGGCAGCTTCGACTCACCCCACGCGTCCTCTGCGCAGCCTCCAACTATTCAAGGTTCCGAATCTGAACCACTCTGGACAAAGTGGCCCCGCCCCCCAAACGGCTTCCTGGATCTCGGGTGCGTCCTGTTTGCCTTTATTCGAATTCTTTCACTGACGACCAGTCAGATGTGGAAATGGCCTTCTCACTCACATCCTCCTCACCGCTGGCTACACAGGCCAGGGAGTCGACGTACGGACGCGCCCGTCATGGCAGTACTTCCCTGCAACAACGCAGCAGCAACTCCTCGTCAAAGCTGTCGATCTGTTGGATATACTCAATCCCGTGGAACCGATACAGGAAGATTGGAAAGGGGTATGGCTGATCGGCAATCATGCTGACGAGCTTACGCCCTGGCTGCCCCTCCTATCTATGTTGCTGCCAACGAGTGGTTTTGCGAGCATTCCGTGCTGCGCTTGGGGCTTTGATGCGCGTTGGGACCGAGGGTCAGCTTTGTTCCCCATTGAAGTCTCGGTTCCTACTTCGAAGCCTGATCTCATAGACTCGTCACTTGAGGCCCCATCTGCAAGTTCATCCAAAAACGATACTTTGACCGTCGTGAAGGGAGCCAAGACACCAGATGATTTCGCAGCCTCACTTCACCTCGGGGGTGGCGCCAACTCGAACACGACCACCTATGCCGGGTACCGGATCTGGCTCGCTTCTCTGCATGCGCATCTCGGATGGAAGATTGAGGTGGACACTCTCAGGATAGGCAGTACCCGTGCTTGGGCGATCGTCGGTGCGTATCCTCGCCTTATTTCTACCCACATTGTCCCTGCCATGTCGTTTTTGCAGAAGGTCGTAGCTATCAGATTACTGACACGCAAACAGGTCGCACGCGCATCGCCTCCACGCCAGCACAAGAGGACGCAGCGAATGAAAGGGCTCGGGACATCGTTAGGAGTGTAAGGGAACGGGGCTTGTTCAAAGTCCGCGTGCCCGAGGGACGGGCTGTGGAACATCGATAGCTCGTAAAAGCCTGTTTCTGGTACTTATTGAAGCAACTGCATAAGGGTCCACCGTTGTGAACATTATTGACCATGACAGTGAATCTATACTTTTCTCGGTAGTGTGCTAATTGGGTTGGGTAGAGAACAGGATGTCTAGAGATATTCAGGGAAAGAGGAGGCAAGTTCGAGCAGTCGAGAGATGCTTGTAATTTAATATCCTTCCACTAAGGCCTGCATGCACTAGCGGTATGGGTATGGCTGAGCTACCACTTGCACTCTAAACAATATTGCTTCGTCGTTGATAGGGCTTCAGAAGGTTGTTCTATTAGAAATAAATGGTAGTAATCAAGCACAAACTAATGATGCTCGACAGTGAAACGAAATTGAGACATACGTCCACACTATTGCGCCCCAGCCTCTACGCTCTTCACCGCTGGATCCTGAGGCACAAACTTTGCTACAGCGTCTCCAACCCACTTCGCATGCTCTCCCAGTCTCAGGGCCTTCACCTCCGGGCTCTCCAATTGGCTCTGTATCTTCGTCAGCGATTCTGCAAGCCAAATCTTCGGCTTCTCCGAGAAGCGGGCTCGTAGGTGCTGGTAGGCTGGCGCAGACGGAGGTGGGCGGTAGAGTGAGGCCGGTGTGCTGGACGATAGATGCTTCAGCACAGGCAAGAGGGACCTGAGGAGTTGTGCAGGACGCGGGTCTGGTATTGCCTCCCCGTCTGCGATCTGTGCGTCGCTCGGATTGAAGGATTCCAAAGTTGCGGACACTAGCATCGCACATGCAGGCAAGTCACCCTCAGGACCGTGAAAGCCGCTGGTTTTGAGCAGCGCGGAAGCGGTGACTGTGGATGCCACTGGATGCCGGAGGTGAAGCGAGTGAACGAGCTGTAGGCCCGCGAGGTGGGAGAGGGGTAGGCCGTGCTTAGGATGGTCGGAGAAGACGGTGAGTGCAAGAGGACCGCAGTTTAATTCGTCACACCGGCCTTTAGACGCGATTCTTCAGTCTGCATGGCCAGGGAATACGAGCGAGGAAACTCACGCGCAAACAGTTCGGCATCGGCCTCGTCAAACGACTTGCGCATTGCACGCCAGCGTGGAAATGTCGCAGCTACACGCTCCATCTGTGCTGGTGTTTCCGCGAGCTGGAATAGCTTCATCCACGTCGTCTTTCGCACGTCGCGCTGAGCTGTGAGGCCATCATCGAGGTACTTGAAAACGGTTTCGAATCGTTCTGAACGTGGTTTCACTACACGTGGAGGGCGTGAAAATTCGACCGGAAGTAGCTCAGAAGAAACTGGAACTGAGAGGGAAGGTCTACAGTCAGTAGAAAGGTCATAAAGTAATAGCTAAAAGCCAAATACCTGGAACGGCCTGTTGCTGCATATGCCTGCGGACCCCTGACAGCGGCGATGCAGCTTGAAATATGGGCCTTAGACGTGTCGAGCGACATAACTTGTGGCCTCGAGTGAATATTGAGTTCATGTCGAAACGCAGCGAGCAGGACGCGTCGGAGGGTGGGCAGTGGACGTCGCGGACGAAAATCGGTCCTTTTGCCGAACAACAGACTCCGGAGCCCCTGTGCTGGCATTGAAGTCCAACCACTGTCCAACCGCACTTGCGGCTCTCTCAACAGAGCCAGTGTGATTCTAGGATTATTTAACATCTTTGAGCAGCCGGAGAGCATAAATTAAATACGCATGCAATGCTTATTAGTCGACACTCACCCAGCCCACATCTAAAACCGGTTCGATAGAAGCATCTAGACAATCTCCAAGGGAATTTCAGCTCTAGGTATCAAGACATTCAAGACATGCACCTTATGAGCTAAATAGCAGCTCTGATAACAAGCATTCTTCTAGTCGTATTTAGATGGCTCTGAAAGGAAGGAGGTACACAACTAGGGAGTCCTATGCGCTGGATGGGTGATGTATTGATTCTGACTTTCGACGCACTGGCAGCCCACAGCTTGTGAGGAAGGGCCAAATGAAGATCACTCTCATCAATCATATAGTTCCCTGACGGGAAAAGCAGATATATTGACCAAGAAATATATATAGGTAAATAGCCCTGAGTGAACCTGATGAAAGATCCAGAGCATCCCTTTTGCCGCAGAGGATTTTTAGTTGAAAGACCAGTTGACGCCGTAGAGGCGTCCGACAGCCGGCGGAGCGAACGTCTCGAACAACGAGGGCGACATATCAAGGTCCCCGAAGCCGGCACAGCCAGCACACCTGTCGGTGACAGTAGCTTGCTGGGTGATGCCACCGTCTGAAAGATAACATTTTAGCACTGACGCTAAACAATGCCTCTATAATGCAGTGCGTACAGCTAATAGTGATAACCCTATTGCAGACAGTGTCGGTGTTGGGGTTACCAGGCGAGAGTTCACTGTGCATCGCGCTGTTAGAAGGTGTTATATTCACTATTGCAGTGACTACGCACGGGAAGCTGTCGAAGAGAGCCTCGGAGACAGCGACAATGTGGTCGGTGTCGACGTTGTTAACTCCACATGCGCCAAGGCCGACCTCAAAGTAGGTAGCTAGAAGGAAGCCGAATTATCAGCCCCCGACATGTATGCAGAGAGTGTTATTCTTACCTTGTCCGCTCTCAGACTGGGCCTTCACGAGAGCCACGGCAGTGATGAGGAAACCAGTAACAATGCGACGAGAGAAGAACATGATGGGCAAGTTTGGTAAGGAGAAGCTGCTGGGTACTGAAGTAGAGATGAGTGGATGGTGATTCACGGA